ATGATTTGCCATAGTGGAAAACATAGAAAGTGATCTGAATCAAACCAAGTGTTCAAACTTATTCCTAGTTTGACAATAGTTGTATGTTACTGGGTCAGTCGTAGAGTTGGCCTGTGTGCCTGATGCCCACCGCACTGTCTGACATATGGTGGGCACCATTTGTTGAAGGAATGAATGACTAATGTGTCTCATTACTTGATTAATGTTCACTAGCTTGTAATCTGCTTGAGGAACAGAGAAAGCCAATTCCAAACGCACCAGTTAGTTAGATCACCTTTTATGACTTTCCTCACAAATTTCCTACTCTTGGAGAAGGTATTAGTAGTAGTGGGAGAGGTCATGGAAATAGAAGCCACAGTCACTGGCGGGAGGATCGCCTGGAGTGTAGAGGAAGGCAGCTCTGAGGGCAAAGTTAAATATTTTCAGGGGGGGTAAAAATGTTTTAACCTAGATATTCGAGACAGTTCTCCAGAACTGGGGCAATAGGAAGTACTTCAAATTAGGACACTTACTACTTTCACATGAACATTTACAGATTATATTTGGGACTTTTTTTGAACTCAGAAATAACATTTCTGTAAACTGTGAGGAAATGTAAAGATGTGAAAAAAACGTAATCATATCAAACAACATAATCCTAAAAAACAACAAAATTCTTCTTATAGAAAGATAAAACCCTTAGAATGTATATTTTAACTGTTTAATTTATTTGGTACTGATGGCCATATGTCGCTGCAGAGACCTGAAAAGCATTGTCAGTTCTTTTTTTACCAATCTGGAAACATTTGATTTTTAGGCCGTGTATGGGGAAACGTCTATGATGTCTTATTTGTTTCCTGCATTCTTATCTAGGGCTATATAAGGAGAGATGACCATGCTTCGTTTAGTACTCCCTACCAAGATCATTATCAATTAGTAGTACAAGACTAGAAATATGTCACTCTAGATTTTATTTTTATTTCCAATGACACAGTTTGACCATACTTGGATCAAGGATTAAATTTATTATATCTTTTTAATGTTATCAGTTTCGTACTCTAAGGACAATAGATTTATGGTTTAAAGGGATTTATTTAAATCCCTTTGCTCTATTTTTTATAGACTGTCATACATCTCTATTTGAAAAAAACTATTTGGAGGAAAAGCATTAATGTAAAATTGAAAGCTTTTCCTTTCTTTGTTTCTCCTCCATTTTCTTTCCTCTTCCATTTTTTTTCTCCTCTCTCTTTTCTCTTTCTGTTTTCCGACAAGTTGTGTATAAATGCCCAAACTCTGCTCCCCAAATTCTTTCCCCGAAATCACCAGGGAGTGAACAGACCATAAAATATCATTATTTCCATCAAATCAGAACTGTCAGCACGTGTGTGGGCAATACAAGGAAGTTACAAGGGAACATTCATCTTAGAAATGTTTTAGTGTGTGACAAACAGAGAAGAAATTATTTCTGAGTTTAAAAATAGTCAGCACAACTAGAAAAACATGGAAATATTTATTCATGATTGTAAATGTGTTTTTAATGAAAGCCATGGATGTCCAAACACAAACTAAATCATGACAACCCAATGGCCCTTTTTTTTTTTTTACAAAAATCATAACATATGTACCATTAATTTGCTAAATGATATGAGTACGAAGAAAAATGAATCAAAAACGCTAAACTCCTTTTAAACACATCATCTAATATAGATACCAACTCAGGAAATGACATTTGAAAATGATCCCTTTGCTTTAATTTGTCTGCTGAGTTTTTGTTACTGTACCTTTACAAATTTCTTTAAAGCTTTAATTGTTATCATTCATTTCAACACAAAACTGCTAGCACTTTGGCTTGACTTTCCATACAGGACTAAATTCTGTTACATTAGTACATATGTAGGGAGGTATACAATGTCATTTGTAAATATATGAGCCTGAAGAACCATCATAAATATTTTATAAAATAATAAAGTATATAGGGCATATACACCACATAGTATATATAATGGCTGACTAGAAAAAATTATATACCCATCTAATTTATGCTTATTCCTAACAACTTCATATTTCTTTTAAATTAAGCTTACCTATTTGGAAAAAATTTTAAGTTTCTTACAGATTTAAGTTTTCATTCTTAAGAATCATCAAATCAGATGCCAAATTCATTCTCATTTTCCAAAAATTCACCTCATTCATTCCCAAGAGTCATTTGGACCCATTTGATATCATACGGAAATTGAATTAAATGCAAGAATTTCTAAATAAGATTTTCTTATTGGCAATTTATAACATAGTCATTCTATTGCACCTTTTAAATGAAATTATCAAAATCTAAAAATTAAAATGGTAAGTTTTATAAATAAGATCCCAGGAGAAAAAGGCACTTAAGCCCTGCACATGGTTATTCCACTCTATATTCTCTACAACACTTATCGAATAGAATTTATTTCTGGCCTGCATACAAATATAGCAGTGTGCCAGAATAAAATCAAATCAGAATGCTTATGAAAAAAAAAAAAATCAAGTTGGTCACCAAATGTTTCACATGGCTAGGAAATTTCTTTAGAGACTTCCAATGGAAATCTGGAGCTTATGTTGTTATCATATCAAGTGCAGGAGAGGTATAAGGCTATTGGAGAAATTCCCTTAGTTTATTGGCTAAAAAGTCAAAATAATTGTTGTAACAGTAAAGCTTGACAAGATAATTAAATGAATGATAACAAGATCTCAGCAGGGAAGTGCCCATTAATTAAATTTATTTGGGAGCAAGTTTTCACAAGTATGACCAAATTATCTAATTTTCAGTCCCATTAAAAAGTGATAGTCTATAACAACTAATCACTGGAAATGAAGGAAAAGGCCAGTACTTTGAACGAATAACATGGAAGAAAACAAAATTACTAACATAAAAGGACTGCCATGTTTGACAGCTTCCTAAGAATTCCATCCATCATTTTGTCCTGTGAAAATATTTCAGTGAAACTCGCTGAAAAAAAGAATCCCAGTAATTTCTATGCAGTAGTGTCTTTAAAGCTGGAACACATTTACCACATTCTTTGTATCTTTTATTGACATTAATATGTGTGTCAGTATGAGTATGCCAACAGGTGAAATAACTGTTGTTATAGAATATGTTATAGATATAATAGTTGAGTTTTGGCATTTCATTACTGTAAAAAAAAATTACTGCCACCCTGTTTTCCTACTGAGTATTACATGTATGGTTGACAGTTTTTAAAAAAATTTTGCTGCTGTTTTCATGTTGTACAGATCAAGGAGTCTGAATTAAAGCATCGGTTTGGTCAACTTTTAAATTTGAAATATGTAATGAAATAATCTATACTTAGATTTTCTGCTTTGAACTGCCAGCAAAGATGTCTCCAAACTGGATACTTTTAATGCTTTAGCAAGTTATGTTCCAATTTGCATAAAAATTAATGATAAACTTGGTTATGTATCTGTGGGAGTTAACTAGATTTTGTTTACAGTCATCATGTTAAATAGAAATTTAAAACAGTGGATTCTGTCACTTTTATATTTTTAACCCCATACTCTAAAACATTAACATGTCGATAAACATTTGGAAGAAATTTTATGCAATAGTAAAACAATGAAATAAAGTACATTTGGCTTAATATTTGTATAAATTCTAAGCAACCTTGCCTGTTTACAATTTAATCCAAGGCATGAAAATATGAATTAATGAATAATGCCAAAAATATTCTTTTAGTTTACTTATTTTTTTCTAAAGGAAATTATCATCTAAATAAATACATTTTAAGCACATTAGTTAAAATTGAATAACAATATTCAAAATTTTTCTTGCATTTAAAAATTACATTTCAGCTTTAAAAACAGTTCTTAATGTTCTGTTTAATAGGACATCATTTTACATTCTGAAAACTAGAGGCTGTAATTATAAAGTAGCAACTAACACTCATTCACAATGATTTTATCACATGACTTCAGAACAGCAGTAAAATGCAGGTTGCTTTGTTTTCTGAAAAGCTGATACTACCTTAATTTAGAGAAAAGAATAGGGCTATGCTTCGTTTTCCTAAGTCATTTCCCTAAATTAATATGCAGTAGATGTCAGTTACGATATCGATGGGTAGACAGATAAACGTAGAGCAACAGACAGGTAGATAGATATAAATATGGCCATCATTAAAACAGAATGTTTGGTTTGGTCAAGTGACGTAATGCATATGAAAGTATTCATTCATATCTTATTTTGCTGTCATTTCTGTTTCTGTTTTTATCTTTTGTTTAATTAATATAGTAAAAGATAATTTTCTGATTAAATAAAATTTCAGATGCTAAACAATTATTTTTATTGGTTTCCATTCGCAGTTCACAGTCTAAAAGCATAACCACATCAGGCAAAAACTGCATGTAGACCGCTCTGGATTTTTGAAGACTTTTTCGCTTCTAACAGAGATTTTTATTTAAAATCATGGAGCAATATCTACAACTTACCGACAGTTAATAATTGGGAGAGGGAACTAAAATCAAAGAAATTCCTTGAAATAGATTTTTATCTTTTAGTGTCAGTTTAATGTCTTGTTCAGCACTTTTAAGTTCTCTTGGAAGGATAACTTTCTATCCATTACTTTATGATAGTTTAATCACCCTTATCTTATGAACCTAGCTATTTTTGTTTCATAAAATATTGCACATTTATTTTCAGTAGATTTTTTCTTTGATGATCAGTATTGTAACCTATGTGTCTAACTGAAAACAATTGGCACTTTATTTCTATAACACCTTCACATAAGAGGTATTTAAAAATACAAAGCTAATTTTTTTCATGATTTCCTGGAGCTTACAAATTCATAATGTTAAAGCACAATGTTAAAGTTTCATGAGTTTTTTCTCAGATGAGATTTGCTTTTAAATACATGGTTGTGTTTTCTGTAGAAGTCACCTATATGTCTTCAAAAACCCGACTGGTCTAGAAAAATGCCTCTTTGAGACAGTCATGTTTCTTTTGTTGTTTTTTAAAAAAAGACAAAACAGCAATAAACATTTTAGCTCTTTAATGAGCAAAGATCATGTCTCTTATCATTGGACTAATAGTCATTATCCAGATTATCTTTATTTCACGCAATGACCAGTGACATGGCCAAGATGTACAAAGTCGTTTCCATCAAGTAGTATACAATTTTTTTTTTTTTTTTGTATAATAAGCTTTCATTCTTGAAAAAGAGTAACTGGAAAGAAAGGTTTCTGTTACTGCAGTTAGTTTGTCAGAGAAAGTTCTTTGCATTATCTTACAAACTATCAAAATTGCTAGTCATCTGAAAAAATGTAAAAAAAAATCACATAACTTTAGTCTAATAGAAATATAGTACAGGTAAGAGAGAAAGTATTTATCAGGATGTGCTCTTTAAGTCCATCTCATTTTTTTTAATATAAATGTACATCTGATTACATATACAAACATTTGGAAAGGTCTGTGATATACTGTTACTGGTAAACAACAGGGGGATGAAGAGTTTCCTGTGGTCTTAGAATATTCATTTAAAATCACACATAATGTGTAAGACTAAAATCCTCCAGGTGTTGACTCTTCTAGGTTCTGCATCTACACTGTACTCTACTGAGATTACATGAGTAAATTCCAGTGAACGGACCTCAGTGAGAAAGATAAGTGATGTGAAGAGGGCCATAACTTTATGCTGAATTATTATTAGTAAACATTTTGTCATGCAACATGAGTAAATCAATTAACTGAGAACTGTAATCAGTGTGGTAATATTGGGGCATCCTCATATCATAAAAGACTGTTGCAAGTAACTCTTTGGACACACTTCACCTTACCAAAAGAAACAAAATACAGAGTAACAAAAACCACAGCAAACTCTAGATCCTGTAATACATGTCCAATGAGGGCTATATTTCTATAAATTATTTAGATGGGAATGAAAAGAACATTAAAAACACAGGAATTTTGTTTCTGGGATTCATATCAGCGAGTATTCACCACTGTTCCTATAGTTTCTTCAAGTACCATTAATAACTAATACCTTCTATTATTGAAACTACTGTGAACTATTTTATTGTAATTTCTTTTGCCCCTTAAAATCTTCTTTAGGTTCTGCCAATTGATGGAGGAACCTTCTATTAAAAACTCCAATGGGATGAGAAGAATTTTAATTACGGCTTAATCAGCAGCACAGCCACCAAGCATAGAAATTATCATGCACATCGTGCTAAAAAGATCCAGTTTCCTTTATCCCCACAACTTTATACTGACAGCACTTATGTGATAATGTTGTACCTGCCAGTCTTTAAACTTCTTTGTTTTACTGGCAAATTTCAGCATGAGCCTCTGCTAAGGCCATTAACAGCATTGGTGCTTTGTATACTTATCCAAAAATGTAAATATGGTCTACACAATAAAACGGCTCCAAATAAAAACTGGTGAAAATTATCTGACATTCCATTGGTGTGTCCCTTGTGCATATTCATAGTTGTTTTTTTATTTTTATTTTTTTAATTCAGACATAGTTCTTTCCTGTTTGGTGTTCCACATGCCTAATTCCATTATGTAACTTAAATCTTCAAAAAATTAATTCTTGAATGTGAATGAAAAAGTATCATTCAGAACAACTGCTTCAAGCAATTGAAATTTGTCTTTAAAGTTGATTTGTGTATATATATACAATTCATATTTTTCAAAACCCCCAAAGTTCTTGATATGTATATTCACATATTATTCCTTCTTATTTAAATAGTAAGAGTCTTGTAGGTTGAAAGCCAAGGAATCTTCAGTAATGTTATATGCTGCAATCCATCAAAAAAATAGTTTCTCTCATCTGGCTATACCCTGGTTGTTGAATGTGAGTGGGGATGGGGATGGGGATGGGGCAGAGTATTGTTCTGTCCTCCAGTAAATGTATTGAATGTGTGTAAGGGCTGGATCCCTGGTATAGTGTTGGGAATCATTGTAATGGTGTTGGGCGTCATTAAGGGAACATCATCAGGTGACCTCCTCATAGCTAGTGTGTAATCTGGGGGACAGGCGGTCCGAAGAACCACCTCATGTGGATGGATGGATTCACATTCATGATCCAAATCAGTGTGCTTCATTTGAAGGGACATAATTTCCTCTTCCTGTGCATGCGTCAGATCGTTGGTAGTAGTGCGCTGAGGGCTGCATCTCCTGTGAACATCATGTCTCCTCTTATCCTTTTTGTAATACAGGGCTGCAAAAGCCAAGATGTTCAGAAACAGCAGTGATGCTCCAACTGCAATAGTGACACTCAGCTCTGTTGAATAGTCCCGCTGATCCACTGAAAATGGACTCGGTTGTTGTTTGGGATCATCCTGCTTGGCAGTGGGAAAGGCTGATGTGACAGGTATGGAATTTTTTCTTGTAGGTCTGAAAGTGATGTCGGTTGATGGCACTTTAGTTGTTGTTGAGGTATACTGAGAAATGTCATTGAGATTATGCAGATGAGGTACCAGCTCCAACCAGAGGTTCACCTTATTGGCTCTGTAATGTTCTTTAACTCTTGGTTTTAATCCAATATGGAGATAAAGTTGGTCTTTCTGTGAATATCTGGTCCATGCTACTTCTTCAAAGCGGTTGGGTTTGGTATGGATGAATTTTGTGTCTTGAGGGACTGGTTGATTTGGGTCACTAGGAAAGAAAAAAGAAATTATGAGAACAAAATTGTTCTATTCATTTTCCTAATCAAAATAGTACTGGTTGAACATCTAATTGAAGAGGCTTTAGATTGTATTTTAACATCAACTTGGGTCAGTTTAGAAATTTAATTCTAATAGGCAGTTTTTCAGATGGGTGATAATGTAAGACAAGTAAGTCTCACATTCTTGTTCTCTCTGCCCATTTAGAGATGGGTGACCATCTACCATAAGATGTAAAAAAAAATCACTTGAATATTCATATACATATGAGTTGTCTCAAAGGTAAGGTAGCAGAGATGGCATGAAATAGTGGAAAGGACTTGGGATTTGGAATTGGCAGATGAAGGTTTGAGTCCTGGTACTGCTACATACCAGACATATAAACATCTATAAGTTCTCAGAGTCTCAGGTCTTTTCTATGAAAATTGGATCAATAATACCTGACCTACCTATCTCACAAGGTAGTTGGAAGGATCAAAAATCATACAGTATTGTGAATTAAAAAGCATTATAAAACAATGTGCTTCTATTGAACGGCAATAATAATGACCTATATAACTTAAAAACCAAAAACATATTTAACTGTTGAGTAATACAAAAGTCTTTCTTCACAAGCTTCTGAAAAAGAAGAACTAATAAAGCAAAGACTTTTTGAAATACAATACAAAATTAATTTTGAACAAAGAAACTTAATACTATATATTGCTGGTATTAATCTATTTAATTATTGGGGCACTAAATATGTATTATTTTAAAATGCTTGAACTGTTGAGTAATACAAAAGTCTTTCTTCACAAGCTTCTGAAAAAGAAGAACTAATAAAGCTAAGACTTTTTGAAATACAATACAAAATTAATTTTGAACAAAGAAACTTAATACTATATATTGCTGGTATTAATCTATTTAATTATCGGGGCACTAAATATGTATTATTTTAAAATGCTTAAAAAGATATTTTTATTAATATTATAGCAAACTTTATTCCTTAGGTACATACCCAGTTTTAGCAAAATTTGTCCAGTATGTCATTACAACTGCACTCAGCATCACATCATTTTTGGAGAAATTGCAAGGAAATAACTCTGTAGGGCCAATCATGGGGATTCCCAGTACATAGGGAACCTCATCTCCATGGGCTGCATCAGCCCAAGCCGGAACCTGATCAGTTTGGCAATGATGGTAAAAGGCATAGAAGTATGTTGGTGAACCAAAGTTTGAGTGAAGATCTGCTGTTGCTACAGCTGGTGCCACCCACTGATGGTCTGTAAACAAAGCCAATAATGTCTTCCTTCTGGTTTCAGGGTTATGACGGTCAGCCCAGTCAGTATACATGAATTTAATGGTTTCTCTCAAAACATCTTTGCCTTCAGGATATCCATATAAATTATCAACAAAATTGGAAACAGCAAAGTCAAAATCACTAGCTGATATACCATCATCACTATCTACTATATTTTCAACAAATTTTAACCCTTCTCCTTGGTTAACTCCTAACATTATATCATAGTTGAGAAACTCTCCTTGCTCCATCAATATCTGAGGGTCATCTGGTATCACATCACCATCAATCACAGGTCCAAAGGCTATGTGGTATCGGGCTGGTTGGATATCTTGGTCAACAAGTTCTTTGTAAGGCTTCTTCTGTAGGCATTCCACTAACTCTACAGTATCTGAAACATTGCAACCAACTTTTGTTGCCAACATTCTAGCATATTTTGCAGGTTGGAAACTAACAGCCCAGCTGGAAAGGGCTGTTCCACTTTGAGCTATTGCTCGTTGAAAAAGTCCTACGGGAAAATCAACAAAGAGTTTCAGTTGATCTTTGAATAATGTTGTAAAATAATGACATCTGATACTTTAGACATGTATATAAAAACCCAGATACAACTCAAGAAACAGGGAGATAGAGACATTTTTGCTCAAGAGAAGGTAGACAAAGTCACCTCCAGGGTATAGTGAATCAAAGAGGTGGACCTAAGTTGTGTGCTTTGAGTGGCACCAGCATTAGGGATCAATAGGTATAAATTGTGCAGAGTCTCAAAGAGGCAGTAAGAAAGGAGAAGAGAAGATGTAAATACTAGTGGTAAAGAGTCGCGAATATTTTCTTCAAGGAGCATGTAAACAATTGTATTATTATCAATGCCAACCAGATGGGGCCAACTGTCTCTTTCACTCTCCATCAGACTCTATACTGTCTTTTTGAGATATTTCCTCCAATTTGCCTGCATCTGCCCTTCAGAATGGTTCTGTATGTTTTGTTTCAACCAGATTTTATTTGAAAAAGAATTATTGAAGGCTCATACAACTATGGAGGCTGGGGATTTGTTAATACCCTGGGGGTGACTCTGAAGGCACACAAAACAGAATATCGCTTTAGACATACTCTTTCCAGATCTTCATGTCACACATAGTATGCTGAATATTCATCTTTCAGAAGAAGACATAACATTTGAAGTATTTTCACTAGGTTAAAGAAAAAATCATCAGCAGAAGGATTGGGGGCGGGGAGGGTTGATTTAACTTTTTCTATTGTTGAATGTGCACTGCTACATTTTTATCATAAAAGATAAAAAGTACACAGTCCACTGCTTTTTATTTAATTGTATTAAAAATTGTAAATTATGGCCCCATATGCAGTTTGACAAGAGCTGCATGCCATTCTAATTTACAAATGCACTTCATCTACTTACTAGAATATTTTCTAATAAAATTCTAGTTTTAAAAACATAATTTATCAATTTTCTTTGAAAAATGTACTTTTTAAAATCAATTTCCAAATACAACTTTGTAGTTCAGTTCTTTAAACATATACTCAATTATTCATATGTTTAATGAGATAAGAACTCTTTTCACAAAGGTGTTAAAATGGTGTCTGAATTAGAAGTAAAGTTTTAGATTTTTCTAAAACATGTATATGTTCAAAATGTCTGTAAGATGTTCCCAGATAAATTCTAAAAATATTCAAAAAGTCAAACAATACTAATTTAAATTTGTTTTGGTTTTCTGACATTTTTGTGAATATATTTTTAGTTTAATAGAGCAAAGTATGCTAGAGCAAATGATACAAATACAGATAATTAAAAAACTGTATAGGCTGTTTGTCAACATTTGCTCAGAGAAATATTTTGCTAATTAAAAATTTATGACTAAAATAAACCTGGTGATTTCTGATATTCTTTCCCATTTCAGGGGCTCAATGACATTAACAGAATATAGAAAAAAAATTCAGGGGAAACCCACACTATGTTAAATATTGCCTGAAATATGCCACCTGTATGGTATTAGGGAAATAATATGTTTATCATTAGTGAGAGTGCTTGTTATGTATATGAAAGATGTGATTGACTTATGGTAGATGTAGACCTGAGCATTTCTGTAGCTTTTTTTGTGGCATTTAAAGCCTTTAAAGCTTATGTCTGCATTGGAGGCAGAATCAGTCTGATGATTTCAAGGTGATCTTCTGATTTCAAGAAGATGCTTCTGAGCATCTCCTAATAAAATCCAGCAGCTCAGTCTGGAGATAGGTTTAGGACTAGACCAAATCAAAGTCGATGTTTCTGGCCAGGTATGGGCAGATTTCCTTGAAGAGTATGATGGAATGTTATATTTTCAACTATTTGCATAAACCATTTCCCACTATTTATCACACTGTCAATCAATGAATACCAGTGTTAGCTGATGAAGTAACTGATTTGTCTTTTTCTCTAATGCTATTGTGATACTGGCTGACACTGGCTTTGGTGCTCATTTTTAATCAGATGACCCTGCAAAGTCTATACAGGTTGCCTAATGTTAACCTAGCTGCATATTGGCATTTGTATAGTACTCAGACTAGAACAATCTATGTTTAATTAAAGAAAAGTTTGTTATTTCTAAACAAGCTATTTTATTACAGACAAATATCTCCATGCAATGAGAACTGTTTTTATCTGTGTCATTTTGTCTTCTCCAATCAGAATCCTTCTAACATAAATGAGTTGTTATGCAAAATATGTTAATAAATTAAGTCTATATTAATATATAATTCTCCAAATGTATATACTCATTTAATTTCTGCCTGTTCTTCTGAAATTCCACATTAATATATCTTTGATACCAAAGACAAATATCCCGTGTCTAGGATTCATATGATAAAACGCAGTCTTACAATTAAGATGCTTCATGAATTACACTTGACAGTGCATACTTTCTGCAAATATATAAAATGACAATAAAAAAGAAAAAAACAATACAAGATGGCCTATATTGATGCATAGTCTCTATCTTCCTCTCTATTATGTATAAATAATGAAGAAAAAGTATTTGGTTTGCATACTTCTCTAACAAAATTCTTCTGTTCTTGTGGATATTTCAAATTAATAATGCAGTTAGAATGGGTGATTAAACACATGGTATAATGGATTTGGAGTCCATAAAGAACAACATGATGAGCCTTGGACAGGCACTTTGGAAAAAGGATGTCAAAGCTGAAAATGGAAACAAGAAAAATATTTCATGGATTTAAGCAGCCTCAGTGCTTTATGCAGCTTTGCCAAGCTTTAGGGGGAAAAAATAACACTTTGGAGTTGAAAATAGAAAAAGCACAAAATCAAATGTATTTTTCTTTTTAATCGAAAGCTCTACTAGTGACCTGATGCTTTGACAATTTTGGATCATGCATGCAAAATAAACATCCATTCCCTACTCAGACTGCAAGTGAAATCACCTGTTTCCAGACGAACTAGCTTACAACTGCTTTGTTAGCTTCATACAAATAAATGGTATAAAATATCTATTGCCTTAAAAATAGATTATATACAATCCCTGTGTTAAAAAAAAAAACTCATCTTTGATTTTGATTACTCAGTAAACAGAGATGATGAAACTGTGAATGTCTTTGGCTGATCTTCCTCAAAATCACCCTTTGAAGAAAAGAAAAATAACTGTAATGCTAACTGTTCTGCAGTGCTCTTGAAAGGGCATCCTTACCAAGCTCCATAGGAGACAAAGAATTTGACGAAAATTTAAACATGCATAGAAAAGCTGAAGAAACATAGTTTAAAACAGTTATTGAGTTCAACCTTCAACACAGTTTGAACAAAGAAATATATACAGAGCATCACATTATACTGATGGTGGTGGCATGCAGACACCAAAATTGTCAAAATTTGCAACCTGCATAATACCTTTGGTTGAATTGCTCCAACGGTTACCTTCAGAATAATGGGATAAAGTCAGCAGATTGACACATGAACCCCCAGCACCAGATCCAAAAACAGTGATTCTTAAGGGGTCACCACCAAAGAATCCAATGTTCTCACTAGTCCATCTTAAAGCCTGTATGAGATCAAGGAGTCCATAGTTTCCTTTTGCAGCCTGATCCCCTGTACTCAAGAAACCTGGAAAATAGAAAAAATAGGACACCTTAGAACACCATTTTGACTTGACACGAATCAAATAGACATCAAATTTAAATACAGTGAAGCCTGTGTTAATCAAGGTGAGCACAGCAAAGTTCTTAAGTAGAAATTATTTCCCACTAGAATAAAACAAAAGTTACTTTAGAAAGAATCATAGTGACTGAAACCTGACAAAATATTTATCTTACTCCAATGCTTTCCAAGTTATCCAGGTACATAACAGGGGCAGATAAAGGGAATAAAAACATTCCAAAAAACCTCAAGGGGGACATTCCAGAGGCCAAGTTAACTACGTAGAGACACTTGGACAATATTGTGGAGCATATGAAAATGTACATTTTGCATAAAACAGTGTGTAAGTCCTCAAGTTATTCTTTGTCTAACATGATTGAAATTTAAGGTGTGTATCAGAGTGGGAGGAAGTAGAGATGTAGAGCAGGGGTGTTTTTCTAAGACTTGTGGGAAAAGGGTGAATTCCATAAAATTATACTGTGTACAACTCTTTCCATGTATATGTGTATGCACATTTTTATCAGTGATGGTCAATGATTAAGAAAGAATCACTGTGTTAGAGGTAATCTGAGATCACATTTTGGAATACCTTAATATGCCAAACTAAGGAGAGTTGATCAATTATCAAACAGTGTAGAACAGTGGAAGGTTTTTGAAAAGTTCAGACTCATATCTTTTCTGGAATGCTCAAAGTTCTGCAAAAAGGTGAATCTGAAAATAAGGAGGCATGTATGTTGAATAATAGAGAGAATGGAGAAAGGGGAGAGATGGTAGGTAAGGATCTAAATTAACAGAATGGCAAAGACAATCGAAAAAAGGAAATGAATGTAAAAAACATGGTGGCAGTAAAAGCTGAGTGACTTTCTCATATAAGGAAATTGTAGAGGGAAGAGGCAAAGGTATTACTTTTGCAGTACTTTAAACATATTCATTCATTACGCTGACTTAATAGCTTTTAAAATGTGTTTATTACAACTTGTAAAACAGTCATCTATCCTTTAATATATTTCTGTATTTGGTATAAAAGAAAAAGTAGAAAGTGTTTCTTAAAATATTCCATTTTATCAACTACTTAGGTAGAAAATATTTAGAGTCATATTACCTATATATTCATTAATTTTACTGAAGGATAAAATCTCCAATCTCAGCAAGTTAACAGAGTTAATTTTTAAAAAGTTAAGGTGTGTATCAGAGTGGGAGGAAGTAGGGTAAGTAATAAGTAGAACAGGGGTAATTTTTAAGAAATTAGTTTTCTCTCTTATTGCAGACCCATTATAGAAACTCAACAAATGGGTAAATGTTTGTGATAAAAACTATTTTATTCAATTTGAAATATACCTCTTTATTTTATAAAATAAGCTAGGAAGACAATTGCATTTGTGAAAACTATATTATGATAGCATTGTCTATCTGTTGAGTAAATAAACCTATAACCAAAATAATTATATGGACAAGACTTCTTTAGAGTCATTGTAGGAAGCAATAAAGACCAATCATCTGGAATAATTTTGAAAAATTTGAAGAAAGAAAAGTAGTTTTCCTACAAGATCAAAAATTCAAAGAAACAGAAATACAGTGTATGTGTATATGCCTGTAGATACTATCTTTGAGACTGAGGTTAAATTTTTAAAAATATATTCCAAATAAATGTATCTTTCTGGTCACACCCATTACCTTTTCTTGAATTTTCATAACAACTCAAGGAAATTTTCATGGTGTCTTTTTACACGGAAACATTTTCAAACAGTCAATATTCATATAAATTAAAGCATAATAAAATATAAAACAATAGTATGGCAGGAAACTCTTTTAACTTTATTTGCTATTATGTGAACTTTGGTATAAGGCAGAACAATTAGTTTAAATTCCTGAAGGATTCTGTTACAAATATTTTGATCTATAAAGGCAGATCGATAGTACAAACCCTGAAAACATTATAGAAGGATTACTGAACATTACAAAGGAAATAACTTCGTATAATGTATGCTATACGAAGTTATTACGCTCTTGGTTTTAATCCAATATGGAGATAAAGTTGGTCTTTCTGTGAATATCTGGTCCATGCTACTTCTTCAAAGCGGTTGGGTTTGGTATGGATGAATTTTGTGTCTTGAGGGACTGGTTGATTTGGGTCACTAGGAAAGAAAAAAGAAATTATGAGAACAAAATTGAGAGAGAGAGAGAGAGAGAGAGAGAGAGAGAGAGAGAGAGAGACTGAATGAGAGAATAAGAACACAATACTCTAGATAGTTTATTACCTATAATTCTATATTACAAATATACTCAGATAAAATTTGATTTCTGAATGTGGCTTATGTCACTCAGCATGGAACAAGGATTTATAGTTAATTCCTCTTGAAATAATATTGAATAACTCCAGTTACCATCAAATGAATCTTTACATCTATATGGAATTTACTTACTAATAAAATAATTATCCAATCTGTAGCATGTGGAGAATCATAGTAATAAGACAATTATCTCTACATTAACTAAATAGTATCTCCTCTATAATTCCAGTTTTAGTTGCACAATTTTGACCACTATGGCAAATTGGTCAAATAGTTTTGTATCTGCATAACAATACTGTAAAAACATATCTAATCTTTGAAAAGCAACTTCTATTTTATAAATAGTTTAAAGAAATCTTATAGCATCTTCAAGAAAAACATTTCAGCAAAACCGGTTCAGTTCCAAAGTTGAACTATTAAATAGCATGGAAGATAGAATAAATCATCAGGTTAAAGTTATTGTGTCCTAGGTTTGGAATGTCCAAGATTACTCTGTCAAACTCCATTTTTATCCTTTAGTTCTGAATTTCCCTCACTCATGATTCTATTTCATGTGCATGTTGTAGTCTATCTATCTACCTATCTATCCATCTATATCATCTATCTGAAGCTAACATCGTTAGAGTGAATTTAGAGAGCCACTTTGAGGTTTTGCTAGGAAAAAAAGATAGCTGCCATCTTTATTAAGGCCAGCCGACCAATCAAATGACATCACTTGAGACCTGGTAGAGTGATGAATTCTTTGATTCCTGATGCTATAGTCACACAAAATCCTATGGCTTAGCTAAGAGCACAAAATAAAGGAAGTTAAATAAATTGCTGCCTCAAAAGAGACACAGTTTGCTGATAACTACCTACAAGATATGCTTGGCAACTTTCTTTATGTCTTGCTACCCAGTGAAGTATTTATTTAAAATTCTTTTTTAATCAACTTAGCTGCTATGTCCTTAACAGCAGGAGTGTTTCAGACCACTCTCGCCATAACTTTACGTGGACTGCTCAGCAATAGTCCAGCCATGGGGGACTCAGTTATACAGAGACCTGAAAGTGCTGCTTACTTCATGATTACTTTGGAGTAGAAGCTTTTTTCCTTAATGTCACTTAAATCATTCCTACTAGATTGTCACTAACTTCATCTGGATTTTCCTGGTCTTTAATGTAAGCTCCTAGAATGTGTGACTAATTGCTGTCCTAACACATTGACATTATTATTATTATTTTTAAGATAGAACAATCATGACTATAAAAACAAACTCTTACTTTTTCAGAAGAAAGCAGCAGACTTTTCCCCCAAAACAACCAACTATTTAATTTGCTTAACTCATAAATATAAAGCCCTAAAAATTAGTGCTTTTAAACTTCAGGCTAACTGTCAAAATCATAAATGCAATTATGCTGAGAATTATCTCACTGGTTCATGTATCTACTACAATCGTAATTCAACTATTTGTTCAGATAAAATTTATTTAATATAATTTTTCCCAGCTGAAAACTAATTCTATCAAAACACATTTCCAATTGTTGTTTCTACATGGAACTGCTAGTTCTACTGGTTTGATTAAATCTACTGAGCAGGTTTAGCTTTAATTTGCCATTTACCTAATCTAGTAACTAGGATTAGGTGTTAGAGAAAAACCAGACAATTGGGTCCATAGGTCCTTGGAATCGAAAAATCAGACCAGGCCTAAGATAAATTGGGCTGGGAGAAAATAAATAAAAACAAATAATTTCTGTGACTAAGGTACTGGCTTCAGCTACTGATGCATACGAAACTCAGATAATTCTCTCATAGGTAGACCCTAAGGAGTATGGGAGAAGCTAATTTAAGTTATCAGGTAGCAGACCTATAGCTTATTTGTTGGCCCAGCTTATTTTCAGTTCTTTTATAATACAACTCTATATGCCAAAGTATTAGAATGTTAAACAAACAAACAAACAAACAAAAAACACCAAAAAGTGTTTTGGAACCTGGGATCAGGAAAAATGCAGACTGTTTACATTTGAGATGACATCTAGAATGTCAAAAATTTAATATGTCGGTGATTCTATACTGTAGATTATAGATGTGCTTTCTTTATTTTTGGGGGTACTGGGGAACTATATTTGAATGTCTATGTTTGTAGTGGTTAATTTCTGGAAACATTAAATAGAACATAATTTTTTTTTTGAGTCCACACTATGTAGTTCTGCTATAGAGATGTAGAAAATAAATTTGCAGTGTTTATCAGTGCTGTTGCCTGGATACAGATGACTGTGGTTAGTTCTTTGAGTCAAATTGCTAAGTAGTTCAAAATAGAGACCATACTGAGCACTAAAGAGCCAGCCTTGCAGACATGAGACTTTGAATGAGAGTGAGGCATCCTTCTAGGGACTTGGGAATATGGATCAGAAAAAATAGCTCATTAAGGATTTTGCATCTTACATATAAAAGGATTTAAAACTGTGAGATTAAAACCTTAAATCTGTCCTGCTAAAAATGCAACTTGAAATCCCATGTGCTAATTCTATCTTTTCAGTTGCCAAGTCCAGTCATTTCTTCCTTTGCATTTTCTCTCTGTCTTTTGCTTTAAACCTCATGTTATTGACTTATTCTGTTTTCTTCTTCAACTCTTGAAATCCTTCTAATTGATAAAACTTCTGACAAACAGTTACCTTCTATTCTTTCATAGAC